CATACCCTTAAGACTCCCCCACTTCCCCCAAAAATCCTTGGCACACCCCTTTTCGCACTTCCAGGCCCACACTCCACTCCGATCAGGAAGTCGCGTTGGGCGTGAGGTTAGGGCGTCACACCGCGGCCTCCTCGGCCTCCTATGGGAAGCTACCGGTCCTGCGTTTACTTGAACTGTCGCCCCCCCCCTAAATGCCCGTGCCTTCCGTTTTACCAGCCTTTCAACGACCAATGGGCCCGAATGAACGACCGACATAACCAACGATGAAGAATGCCTCGAGGAGAAAACGCAATCCTGACGGGCTGCGACGAGCTGTCCCGGTGCCTGCATGAAGGCTGGATAATGGTCGCAGTACATTCATTTTCTGGGTTGTTTGTGAGGATTCCCAGCCTGAATGTTTTTTTCTGTTAATTGTAAAAAAAGTAAGCTTCTTCTCTCAATTTTACCTTTCATTATCTACCTACCACTACTCCTAAGGGTCTATTGACTTACCGTGAGGGCACGGGTGCGCAGCCCGTAGTTCTTATATGCTTGATTGATAAAGGAGGCGTTATTGGTGAGGTTTAGAAGTTTGCACTTGCAAATGCAATGTCGGTGTGTCGTTTCAACCTGCGGCCAAGGCCGCACCCTTTCCGATTCAGAGTTTTCCACTTTTTCACCCTGGTGCTGCTTTGCCACCGTTTTGACGAAAACCCAGCTTGGGTCTCAACTGCCCAAGCCTGAGCACTTTCGTTGGACGAAAGTGTGGTTTCAACCACTGCCCAAGCCTGCGCACTTTCGTCGGACTTTTCAGCCCCTGCCCCTGGCCTTGCGTGCCCTTTCCATTTGCCCCTGCTTTGCCATCGTTTCGATTTCGACCAAAACCCGTTCCGACCAAAACCCAAAGCGCGGTCCCACCGGCAGCTACCGGTCCCTCATTTTTCAAACAAACTGCCACCACCCCCCAAAGTGCCATACCTGCACCTTCCTGCATTTTTCGAGCCTTCCAACAACCAAATGACCTGTAATGAACGACCGGTATAACGAAGGATGACGAAAAAATGTCTCCATGTCTCCAAGGGGGAAAAATGCACCCCTGACGGGCTGCGAACACGGGACCCCTGCAACCATAGCCACCTCTCACAATTAAGGGGATGCATTTGTCCCCTGCCCTGATCGTGGTGGTCAGGGAGTAGGGTGGGGAGACTAACGCAAAGACACAGCATTTTGCCAGTAGCTGCGCCACCCCCCATAGGGTAGCAGTAGTGGGCTATGGCCAACACTCTCCCGCACACCACACACAACCCACTAACACTCGGGCGGCTAATGCAAAGACCGAGCATTTTGCCACTCACCCCCATTTTGCCACTCACCCCCATGGGGTAGCAGTAGCAGACAACCCACTCACACTCGCACCACCCGACTAAAGCGGACTATCACAGTCTGAGTGCGTTGCAGGCGGGGGKATAGAACCCACAGCCTCCTGTATGCCACTTGCGTGCCTAACCAACTGAGCTAGGCCGCTGGATGGCCTCAATGCTTGGAATATGAAATCGACTCCTTTCTTGTAAAACACACAAAAAAAAGCAGGTCCCATCATGTACAGCTACAGCTGTTATTCAGGTGCAAGGTCCCAGGTATCCAGATTCTGCGTTTGCGCCTGTCCATTCTCGTAATCGACGGTCCAGATCCGCGCGCAGTTGATTGGCGCGAGCAGCGGTGATCGGCGCGCAGTGGATTGACGCGGGGGTTGCTGTTCGTCTGCTGCTCGTGGTGGGGTTGAAATTGCAACAGCACTTGCACGAGTTGAGGGAGGAGGGAGAGGCGGGAGAGGAGAAAGGG